CTCTGAAGTACAGGTTTCAAGTTCTCTCTTTCTGTAACATTCTGTATAGCTTTCTTGATTCTCTTGATGCTTTTGAGTGTACAAATTTGATCACAATCTTTTAATTACAAACCACAATGCTATATCAATAATAGTGAATACAAAATTCCTTACACCAAAAAGCGAGCATACAAATTGGATTGGGTTTTCTTGTACATATATTTTTTTTAAATAGAGAAGACATTCTTCTCTCTTGGTGGAAATTCTTGTTATCTCTTCCAGCAAAGCTTAGGAAAAGCATCTAAGAGTTTTATGCAGTATAATTCAGAAGGAAGAAAGATGCATTATTAGAAAGTTCACACTTCAGTCACAGTATATTTTTAATTCTCTTTTTCCTTATTTTAATGAGGAAAAATGTTAGTCATTATGTTGGCATGCCAATTCCAAAATCCAACTAATTATAATGAACATGAGAACATTTCTAAAACGTCTCCTTTCAAAATTCTTGTTAATGTGATTGTTAAGAAAGCATGTAGCTTGTAAACCTTTCACTGCTGATTGAAACATTTGCTCAATTTGAAATCAGTCTTCTGAATGCTTTGTATTGAGGGTTACCTTCAGAATAATGCAACGAATCTCACCAGTGACCTGCAGTCCTGTGCTTTGGCTGCTGTTTATGTCCATGTATTCCCCCTGGAGGTGCTCAGGGGGGTTTTCTGCAGAAGGCTGATTCTACAGGGTCTGTGTTGGGAATTGTCATTATTTTGTTGTGTTTCTTTAGAATGCTCATGCACAGTACTGATTGCCCAACTCCTTTATTACTGCTGTGCTCCCTAAAGCATGGATCATGAGATTTAGTATAATCACATCCCTCTTGGTTTGGCAGTAAGATTTGTGTATCACTTTTGTTTTTCTAGAGGTCAAGCCTTCATATTTGTTTTAGATAAAATATCTTTGCACTTAATGATTTGGAATAGTCCTTTCCGCTCCATTGACTTTTGATTCCTTTCAGACTTTCATTGAAATGCTTAAACTTCGTGATCTTTGACAAAGCCAGCTCCCACGTAGTTGCATTAGATGCATCAGATGCTTAGTATTTTTTATAAGGGGAGCTTGTGGAGTAGTGCACCTTATGTAGCACTTCAAATTACGTCTGAAGATACTGTTTTGGAAGTCATTTTTGATATTTTCTTTCTTTGGTTGCATGACATTAACATTTCAGAACTTTTTGGTTGTTTTAGGGGCACAGGCACTGTGCTCTCCCATTACACTACTGGAGCCTTCTCCCCTGGCTCTTGTTCGTGTTCTGCACTGAGTGCATCTCTCCTGGTCTCCAAGAACACCCTTTTAATGACTCAGTTTTCAGGCACTGATGTGTCATACCCATGGCTGCTAAAAAAGCCTCACAGTTTTCTGAGAAAGTTCTGTGGTTTGAGAACAGAATGATGTAATTGATTGTCTTGCTTCAGTGGTTCAGAAGAGCCTTTGAAGGTGTCTTTCTTGTTACTTCTGCTCAAACGAGATGTCAGAGATGCAGCCTGATTTTCTTTCTTTGGATTCTTTTACAGACGTATGTCTATGAACCTGGCGTCCCTTCCAGCTGGCCATTTTACCATTTGCTGAGCAGGCATATTGATGTACTTAAAAATACTGTAGAGCCAAGACTAAAAAATCCATTTATATTTTTCGTGGCTCTTTACCAGATATTCGGAAGAACAGTTATCCTAAAAAGCATACTGGCTATTACTCTTAAGGTGCAGATTTTTGTTATGCTGGATGAGATCTGTTAGCTGTCGTTGAAGGGGGGGATCTGTCCTCCTCTGTGCTTGCTGGCTGCATATCCCCTCCAGCTCCTTTCCATCGCATCTGGGCATGCTGTGGCTTTATATTTTATTTGGATCAGCTTATTTGTCCGGCAGAAAACTGATCCACTCCAAGTAACAATTAATTTTCTGACACTGATCTGAATTCAGGCAGTCACACAGCCAGCAAGGGGGAGCAGGGAGGAGGCAGGACTGCATACAGAATTGCAGCTGGGATTGAAGGATTCTTTGCATCTGTAAAGACTGCCATTTCTGGAGAGGGCTGAATTTGTTTGGAGATCAAAAATGTGCATCTTTGCATCTCAGTTGGTATGAAATACACTTGAGATACACTTGATTGTATGTGAGTGTAAACTTAATGGTGAATTTCATGGGTTTGCACCACTTGCTTTGGGGATAGCAACATCTGTTTAAAGTTTTTCATTCTAATTTATTAATAGGCACTTTCTACCATAAATCTGCATTAAGAGCTTCTATCAGGCAGTAAGTGTGGTCCAGGGTCACCTCAGAAATACATTAGGCTTGCAATTGCATGTCCTATAGACCTGTCCAGGGGAAGAAACTTCCCAGAACAAATCAATATGATGCAATATACCTAGCAGTGTAAAAACAAAGAAGGAAACAATAATAAAAAATCACCAAACACCCAAAATCCCCAGGCATCTTTGCTCTTAAAGTTATATTCTTATATGAAATTAGCATAGATGAGTATGATTTTTGTCACAATGGTTACATTTGCTATATACAGATTTAAATTATGCTTTTTATATTCTTCAGTATAAGCATTTGGTGATATAGAAGATTTAGTTATAGTGCATACATATATCAGAATGATGGCAAATGTAGCTAACAAATAATAAAGTTAGCAAATAATAAAGTTCTTTACATTTAATAAAGTAGCAATGAATTGTGAGCAGCTGTGCTGGTGTTATTCCTCTGATCACGAGGTGGTTGTTACTGAGCAAGTAGCTAAATGAAGGTTATCTAGGGTTAGCAAACATGCTGCAGTGGAACATTTGAATGACTAAACCAGCATTGGCCCATGCTGTGTTTTGCAGTCCTTGGCTTGTCATGTCCTGTTTTGTGAGCAGCAGCCTCATCATTCAAATCTAGTAAGAGGTGGAGTTTCAAAACCATATTCAAAGCAAACTCTGCTGCCTGCAAGTTGGAAGAGAAATGCCAATGCTTACAAGATAATTTGCTGACAGTTCTTTTAGTTGTGGCTGTGGTTGAGCTAACCCTGGGCTAGCTGCCTCTGGGTGGGATCAGCAAAGCAGTGGTCCTGGTGTGGTGCCTCTACATGGGAGGGTGTCCATGTTGCCTCATGGATACTGTGCCTCACAATCATTTGGGACTAGCTTGATCTCCTTAATTCCAATTAAGGGATTCAGAAACTGGTGATATGAAGAAATTTCCTTCTTTTCCTTCTTTCCTTTTTATTTTTTACTATATATATAGAAAGTAGGTTTTTAATATTGCTGGTAATTCATCACTGAAATCATTTACTTGGATAAGATAAAGTGTATGACACATTCACTTACTTGGTCAAAGATTATACATTTTTTCAAAAGAGGTGCTCTTAGGTCATTCAGGAGTTATAAGAACTGCTCAGTGAAGTTCCATGGCATGTGATACAAAGAAGCTTAGATAAAATGGGGATAGCTGAAATTATATGTGACTGAATTGTATCTACTATGAGGTCTCCTAAGATGCTTTATAGTTTAATACTGCATCCTTCTAAACCACAGTTTAAATACCTGAAATTTTTCATGTATGCACATTCACTACAGTGGCACAGTGAGGTGTTTTTGTAGAGCATTTACAGCCTAGGCATCCTCTATTGAGAAAAACTTTTGGTGACTTTTTTTTTTTTTAAAGAAATCAACTGTTTGCAAATACTTATTCACTGTTGTTACTTTTTTTTTTTTTTAATTGCTAAAACTCATGCCTCTACAATGACAAGAAAATCTGGCTATAGGCTATAGGGCAACTCAAAAATATCATTAAAAAATAATTCCCTCAATTTCCCATGTCTTTATTACTGTTCCTTTCCAGACAAACTGGTATTCTCAACTCTTCTGGATTTAATGCCTATTGAAAGCCTGCCAGTAGTTTTAGAGAGAGTGAATTTGATGATTCATATTATCCCATCCTGTCCTGTGTTTCCCAGACTTTTCAATAAATCATTTGTTACAGTTGTACTGTCCTGTATTGTACTTCTTTGAGAAGTGTGGTATAGAGTTGTAAGTGGTTGCTCAGTGCTTCTTTTAGATCCTTCTGTCTACATGCTTCAAATCTTAATGGGTAGATTTCAATGGAAAGAAAGTAAAGAACAAATTGAAACTGCTCCAACATGTCTGAAAGTAGCTTTTCTTACTAATTAGTTAAATAACATCGCTGTTCAGTTTCTTGGGAGTTTTAAAGTCTGGAAACAAGTGTTGCATTTCCATCAGATAACTCAGTGTTTTCTTTCACTGCTACTGGAATAAATATATATCTTGAAGATAGTGATTTAAAGTATTCCTGTATTTGTTTGGTATGGGAGTGAATAGAAGCAATTAATTCAGGGAAATGCATTGCAAAGAGAGAGAGGAATAAAGGAAGAGATGTTTCCCTAGCACCAAGTTTTGTTTGGTTGGAGTTTTGGGAACGTTTTGGTTGAGATGGGCTTCAGGGGAGTGAGACACAGCTTTACAAAAAATAGTTAATCAGAGTTTATCCCACTGCTATCACCTTACTACATGAGCTTTAGTGGGAACTTATCTGAAATACCAGCTTCTTCTGGATAACATTGGCGAGGCTGGTGCACACAGCCTGGCCTGAACGAACTGGGCACGTCTCAGCTCATCTCTATGGGTCAGAGCCAAACTGATCAATGAGGAGGAAATTTGTATTTGTTCAGGGTTTTGCCTGAGGTGGAAGTTGGAAGGGAAGAGTTATTTCCTACAGTGTTGGTGTATTAATGTGGAGGGTGCATAATTATGGCAAATCTGGTTGTATTGTTGGAAATTCTTGAACAAACCTCAAAGTTCAGCCAAAAAGAAGTCATTCACTCTGATAAATACTGTGTCTATTTCAGAGTAGTTTTATTTGGTTAGTATTGTTGCTTTGTAAATATAATTACTTTCTGTGTTCAGAAACTTGTATGGTATATTGTGTTGTAGCTGAATACCAATTCTTCTCTTTTCTATTTTGCAGTCTACCCACATTGCTCGAGCCAGCTTCCAGGTTGATGCTTTTGGGTCATCCTTCATCCTGGATGTAACACTAAACCAGTAAGTAACGATGTATCTTTCTCTGTGGTCACTGAGGACCTGGTTCCAGTGAAATATGAGTGTTCTACAGAGGCTTTTGAGGCACAAATGCTATATTTAGGTATTGAGTTAATTTATAGCAATATACTTTAAGTTTTTCTACTATTTCCTCAAGTACCATTGTAGAGTTTGTGTTTCTACTGTTACTACATACTATTGCAGTGTAACTAACGTTTGGGTTGTGTAATTTCATTTAAAATCTTTCAGTTTATTATAAAGGCCAATTACTGTACTCATACAGAACCTCGATGGGTATTAAAACACAGAGTTGCTGAAAACTGTTAGCATTTTAATAACCAAGTGTAAAGTATTGGAGACACAGCAATAATGCTCAGAAAAGAACAGGACGGGTGGTGGTGAAGGAAGTTTCCTCAGATGTGTTTACAGTCTTTTGGGAACAGAGAGGCATTATAAGACAGTGACACACTGTGAACTTCAGATGACGAGGAAAGATTGGACAATAGTAAGCTTAAAAAGAAATCTGGTATTTAGCTCTGGATAACAAATTTTCAAAGTAGCCTTTTAGCACAGCTGTTTTAAAATTGCTTTACTTTTCTCCTCCAAAATGAAAAGAGAATAAATGATATATTAAATGAAAATGCTTGGTTAAGTCATTCAGCTATTAGTAATTGCACATAAAGTTGTGTGGTTCAGTGTTAGAGGCAAACTGCTTAGTTTCTACAAGTCCCTCTACTAAAGAGATGAACGATTCATGTTGCAATGGGAACAACTTTCTATCTTCTTTTTTTTTTTCTTCTTAATTTTTTTTTTCATTTGTAAACACATTTTAAACAGTGGCAGTCACTTTACATGTGCTAACAAGTTAAAATCCACATGTGAATCCCTGCTGGCTGCAGAGGGAAGAGATGTTGCACTGCTACAAGGGAAGGGAAAGAGGCTGATTTAGAAGGATGATTTTTACAACAAATACATTTTAACAGGACATTCTTCCTCTAGAAATCCTTTGAGAAGAACTGAGTCCACGACACTGAAGTGTTTGTTTGAAATTTTTAATAATTTTTAATGCAATATTTGGTGTTCTCTGTTATACATTGCTGACAGTAGGTTGCACAAACTTGTTTTTATTTTGGGTGGCAGGTTAGTGCTGTGTTCATAGTTCCTAAAAGCTCAGAAGTCTCCTTGCTATATGAATATGAGGTCATTGTAATAAGAATAAATACATTTTCTAGTGGTATATGAAAAAACCATTTGGGATGTGATTTTTATAAACTTCAGTAGTTCCCTTTGGGTGGATTTTTAGTTTTCACACATGTAAGTATGCACATACATAAGCAACAAGTCACAGAATGCAGCTTTATAAAAATACGAACTTTGCGTGAGAAACAAGGCTTTTCTTAATGTGAGAAAAGTCCTTTCACAAAATGAAAACAAGAAGGCTATAAGGCAGTTAGGATGTTTTGCTTCTATCATGATATTAAATCAACTTTTAAACTGCTTCTGAAATAGCATTTGCAGATCATCAAATAAACAGAAGGCCAAGAATACCAGAGCAACATTGAAATGTATTCTTAATTAATATTCCTGTGGACAAATCTATTTTATTCAGAAGGCTGTATATATATGTATTTTCTCTTGTAATTCTTACTCTTTCTATTATATTCTGTGTGTATTTTCTAAGGGCCCTCAGAGAAAGATATGATTTTTTTTAGGAATGTCTTTTACGTTTGGCCCATGATAGCTTTATAACCGAGAAGTAGTTGAGTGCTCAGAAGGACCTAGGGTCAAGATTTCAGTTTTTCTCTTGAAAAATTATTGTCTTAACTAAACCTCTGCTGATATCAAAACCACCTGAAGCTGTCCTCTGTGGTAAAATTCTCTCATATGCTTAATATACATTTGAGAAATAGAAAAAAAAAAAGAGGATGAAAGTGTTTGGCCAGTCCTGGATGCAAATAAGAGGAAGGAAAAACAATTTTCCAGTGGGCATTACCATAGTATGGCAGTCTAATGTAACACTGACATCTGCATGCTTTCTTCTTGCTCATTTTGGATCTCAACCTGTTCATATTGCACTGAAATGTGTATTTGGTCACACTGCATTGAAACGTTACCTTCATTAGTAATGAAATATGCTACTACTATTACTGTTGAAAGATGGTAATTACAGTATATTGTCAATTTTTTCACTGATGGTATTTTTTCCGCGTGTACTGTCACACTTTCTCTCTTTTTTCCCCGAGTTGTTATAGTATCTCTATAATAAGCTTTTTTCAAGATTGTGTTTCTTTTTCAACTTTTTTGCCTTTTCAGTGAGCTGAAGTATTTACAAAGAAGCTTTCAGATTGGATCAGTTTAAGAGGTTCAATCCCTTAGGCAAAGGTTAGGAACGCATTAGTTGCACCATGTTTTTATGAATCCATTGTATCGGTATCTTTATGTGTTCAGAATTGCATCTAATGGAGCTGTTTTCTGTGACTATCTTTGTTAGCATGTTCAGTTTCCACCTGTGTTGGCCAGTGCTGCTTTCAGGCTTCCCTCCTTTCATACATGGCTGCATCTCAACTGAATTATGCATGGCCTGCATAACAATTGAGTGGGCTTATTTATTTTTTTATTAATTCCTTCCTCCTGAAGTTTTTAATGTCCCAATAGTATCTGTGGCTCAACAAATGGCCATTTCTTTTTTTGTGCAGAATTCTTCTTCTTGTTAATGTAGCCATGTGAGCATTTCACTCTTGTCTTGGAATGTAATTATGCAATTACAGAGCAGAGCTCGCCAGGAAATGGGATGTTTCTGAGAGCCTCTTTGAGGTGCCTGGTGCTGTATGACTCTTGATTCTGCCTGAAGAGACCTGAACAGGGGCATGGCCACCTAAGTACGGGGTGGCAGAGAGCAAACGGCAGAACAGCCCAAGGCAAGCTGTAATCATGGGGTTCGACTGAGAAGGAGCATGCTGCAGGTTTGCTAATCAGAAGAGCCACAGTATGTCTGCTTGTCAGGATTGTGGACAGTTCCTGCCTGGCAGAGGGTGACCACCTCAGGTCTGCTTTGTGGTGACCACATCATGCAAAAAAAGAAGGCTGTAGTCCATCCCTGCTACAGCATACTCCTTCATCTGAAGGCCGCTGTGTCTTCTGCACCTCTGCAAGTTTGCCGATGACACCAAGCTGAGTGGTGTGGCTGACACATTAGAAGGAAGAGATGCCATCCACAGGGACTTCAGCAAGCTCCAAAGGTGAGCCTGTGTGAACCTAATGAGGTTCAGCAAAGCAAAGTGCAAGGTTTTGTACTTGAGTCAAAGTAATCCCAGATGTATATACAGACTGGGGAAGGACCTGGGGGTCCCGGTCCTGGATGAAAAATTGAACGTGAGCCAGCAGTGTGGTCTTGCAGCTTGGAAGGCCAGTGGTATCCTGGGCTCCATCAGAAGAAGGGTGGCCAGGGAGGATTGTCCCTCTGTGCTCTGTCGCCCTTGTGAGGCCCTATCTGGAGTACTGCATTCAGATCTGGAGCCCCCAATGCAGGAAAGATGTGGAGCTGTTGGAGAGGGTTCAGAGGAGGGCCACAAAGATGATCAGAGGGCTGGAGCACTGTTCCTTTGAAGACAGGCTGAGGGAGCAGGGCTTGTTCAGCCTGGAGAAGAGAAGACTGTGAGGAGACCTCATTACAGCCTACCAGTATTTAAAAGGGGTTTATAAAAAAGGAGGGGAATCAACTTTTTGCAAAGGTAGACAGTGATGTGACAAGAGGGAATGGTTTTAAGCTCAAGGAGAGAAGGTTTAGATTGGATGTCAGGGGGAAGTTCTTCACAGAAAGCGTGGTGAGGTGCTGGAACAGGGCTGCCCAGAGAGGCTGTGGATGCCCCATCTCTGGAGGTGTTCAAGACCAGGTTGGATGGGGCCCTGGGGAGCCTGGTATAGTGCCGTATCTGGAGATTGGTGGCCCTGCCTGTGGCAGGGAGGATGGAACTTTCTTGGGATCCTTTCCAACCCAAGCCATTCTATGATTCTGTCATAGGGATGGACAGAGCTCATTTTCCTGAGCCTGAGTTGTGGTCACTTAGGAGGCTCAGGATGAACACCAGGTGTTCTGCGGGAACCTGTGGCTTTCAGAATGTGGCCTTGAGCTTCCAGCTGCCCACACATGCCCCTGCTTGTTGTGCTACAAGGAGAGGAGCCCTTCTGAGATCGTGCCTTTTTTTTTTGTGTGAGAGTGAACACACTGAGAGTGTGAGGTTCTCAGGTTAATGGTGATCCATGTGCTAGTGGAAATTAATCCATGAAGAAGTACACTTGGCAAGATGGGCCTGGTGACATCACCCTCTGTAGGGAGTGAATGTGCTTTTGTTTGTCCTGGCATTCCAGAGAGGTACCAACTGTGTAGGTAAGTCCATAGTCATGATAATCAGTGACATCCATAAGGCTTACAGATCTCAAATGAGGTGAATTTTCCAGAACCTGCAATCATTCTTTTTATATGGGGAAAATAAATGCCTTTTTCTTCTGGCTTATCAAAATGTAGGAAAAATCAAAGGTCCTTCACAAAATGCTGATCGTCAGTTATTTCTGGTTAATGATACTGGAAGATTCCTGGCACTCTAGGAATATTTTGCTTTGCCACTGAGTGGTTTTAGGGGCTTCTGCTGAGAAGGATACAGACATTCTTCATTCCTTCTGGGGAATTTTTATTAGAAATGTCTCTTAACTGGAGTTTTGTAAACCTTACAGAATCAGATCATAAACTTCATCAAAAAATCCCCCAAACAGAAGCAAAGTAAAAGGCAGCTTGATAGACAACTGCCAGCTTTTTCATAAGACAAAATGCTGAAACCTTGCTTGTAAGTTCTCTTGGCAAATGGTCATTAACACTAATATCAATGTGTCATGTAAGCTCTAAATGAAAAGCATATTCCTAAATTTGCTGTAAATCATAAACATTGGCTGTGTGGCATTCAAAAGGATTAACTTCCTGACATGATTTAAAAATGCAGTTGCACCAT